GTCCAATAAAGGTGACGTTAAATCTGTAATCACAGATTATTGCATACATGCTTCAATGACTACTGGTGGAAAATAGTGCCAAAAAGCCATCTTAAACTTTTCCACAGGAAACTTTGCAGAAGCTTCTTACTGTATGTATTAGAGCAACAGGCGAATGGAAAATGCCACAATAAGACTGGAAAATAATTCATATGCTCAGGAAGCTCTAGGAAGGAAAAGCAAAGGTGATAATGGGGGGAGGGGGACGTTACTTTATCTGTCATGGTGGCCTATTTTTCATATTTCATTGGTAGAAATAGATAGAAAAAAAGGGTGTCTTTTAAGTGCACAGATTGTATCTTTCCTGGAATCACTTTGTAGTTTTCATTAGTTATCCCTAAAGTAAAAAATTACTTTACACTGTTGATGTTTTATCGTACTACATACAATACCACCACATGCGTATTAAGTGTCCCTAGATGTCTGTTTATGCAGCCGGTGTAAAATCATTGTTTGGTGTTTGTGCATTATTACTTACCCAGTGAAGACTGCTTCTGCATCTTTGACCTCAATTTCCCCTTCCTTGAGCTTGTTTTTTTTTTTCTGCCGTAGTCACAGAAAACTTTTCCCCCTCCTTCTATCTTGGAAGCACCAGGTGCACCCTGCGTACAATTCAGCAAAATTGATTTTGGAAACCAGCACTGTATTGTTTTTGCAAATTGCTAATGCGTCATTGTAGTGTCCTGCTGGGGTTCTCCTCCACTGTTAGACACAGTGACTCAATGCTACTAACATGATGTTAACTTATTGGATTAAAGCCATTAGTAACGGGTGTCAGGAATTACTGATACTCACCTCAACATCACGGTGAAGTCACTTTTCATCAGGTTCGGCTGAGATGGTTTAATTATGACTCTGCGTAAGGCATGTATCACATCACATTAACACAACAGCTGGGATTTTTGACACCTGTGTGCACCAGAGCAAGTACACAGCTAGTGTGCCATTAGTGTGTATTGACGTGTGTAACTGATTATATGTTTTGTACTTTGATATGTATAATTTTCAAAACAAAATTGAAGTCATTAATAGTATAGAAGTTAGTCAGATAATTGATTCTCAAACAATGGTGCGCAAACCACTCCTAGTACCTGTCTCCTGCTCTTGGTGTGCAGTAGAATCTGTTTCCTGACCAGGAAGGTTAGTTTCGTGTGTTGTGTCAATTGTGTTGTTATTTCTTTGTGTGTTGTGGCTGATCCTGTGAGGAATTCATATGTTTCTGTTGTGGACTGTGTATTATTATCTAGAGTAGATCTGTGCTACTGTATTTCAAATGTGGTCATAATGGCAGTACTTTGGGGGTGGTTAAATGATGATCATTATTAATAATGCTGACTGTAAAAGGCAGCTGACCAGCCAAAATTATTCTTTGAAAGATATTCATGAAAGATGTATCTTTGGAAAGTGTGCAAGAAAATTGTATTAAAAAATACTTTAAAGCCAAGAGACTTTGAGGATGCAAATGCACTATTGGATGGACCGAGTAGTGATCCCAGTATGTACTGTAGTATTGATGAAGTGAAAAGCAATATGGATCACCCGTGTCTTACACGTTTAAAAAAACATTTGCTGGTAACATGTGGTGTATTTGATTTTTTTTTCTTTACTCCTCTTCAGATTTTTCTTCAAAATATTATTTAAATTATTTTACAAGCGTTGTATCATCTTAGAAAAATAATCAATTATAAAAACCTAATTAACATAATGTATTTAAAATTGGCCTAATTGTCAAAGGTCAATCCTTAAATCCGTGAATGCATGATGTGTTTACTTGTTCATCAGTCCACAAAAAAATCCCATTCAGCTAAAGGACAATGCTCTAAAAGTCTTCTCTTCTTTTACTGCATCACCAAAGAGAGTCTGCTGCACAGCTCTTACTGAAAGAGCAAATCTCCACTATAACAATGGGCGAGATTGTCCTCACTGGTTCTCTCTGTCCATTTCAGTTTATATCCAACTATTAAATTCTTGGACAATGACCGACTTGCTCTAAATACTGTATCTGTTGTGGCCTCTTGTCGCCGTTCCTTTTAATGACACAGTGGGAATCTAAGGACAGAAATGGTTGCAAGCGAGGTGCTGTATGTGCTGTTTTAAGATATTTTTGGATACCTTAGTTTGATTTGTAGTGTTTCTTAGTCTGGATGTGGCTTTAATCTCACAGATCTGGTGAAATGTGTTTGTGGTATGGCCTCGTGTGTGTGTGTCCAAATGGTACAGATGTAAAACAATAGCCTCACCTTTCTCCTCTCTGTATTTTGTAATTGAAAATGGATGTCTTCATCAAATGTAGAATAGTATTGCACCCAAAGATATTGATTGAATCTGTAAAATAATAAAATATATTTCTCCCTGAATCATATCACAACCAATTCATTTAGAGGTTAATTAAGTCATCCTCCAAGGAGAGATGCACCCGGCACCTAACATCCAATTTCATATCAGCCATGATCTATATTAGTCCCATTTTAAAAACACAGCCAGAGCACTGCTCTCTTCCTTTGGCTGTGTGTTGTTTAAGAAGTTTAATATGTTGCATATATCTGCAGATTAGTGTTTCTGTCTTGTTAATGTTACATTAGACACAAATATATATATAAAAACTATTATTTTCTGCGTGTCAGACAGTATTTAAAAAAATATTTCTGGACATTTTAACTGCATCCTGACAGACTCAACATTTAAAAGTATTTGGAACTTTTTTTTTTTACGTAGAGGCTGTGTGAAAGCACATTTCCATATTCTTGTGCTAAGAAAATGAACCAACTGACAAGGAAGTGCCTTGAGCTCCTGCTTTGCTGCCAGACTTTTCTCTTTCCTTTTCCCCTCAGAAAGTTGAATGGCACTGAAGATGCTGAGAATGGAAATTTATGCAAAGGAATTCTGCCCCACCCACCCCAACCCCACCACCGTCCGATATAATAGACTACAGCGGCACTAACTAACTAATCTTTTTCAACTATATATATTTATGCTGAGCAGAATGGAAAGAGAACGGGGGCATTTGGGCAAAAAACAAACAGTTGTCAGTGCAAACAGCGTTGCTGCTGACAGGCCATTATTTGAACCATATCTAAATAAGAATATCTCCATGTGCTTAGGCAACTGTCAGTCAATGTGGCTCTGACCTTGGATGTGTTATTGCAGAAAAACTGAAATGTTGCCTACTGGGACTGGTGTAGCCCCAGGGTAACGGAAAATGTGGGGGGTTTTGAACAAAAGGCAAAACGAGGGGGAAAAAAAATCAGAAATAGAAGATAGTTGTATAGCGAAATCCCTGAAGGACAAATTTCCAAAAGATTTTGCGAAGACGTTTGACCTTGTTCGTCCCACGCAGCTTTTTTCTTGTTAAAATGTTTTTGTTTATCTAGTATTTGAATACAAATTGTTTTCTCAGTTGCATTGGTAAATGTTCTTAAAGTTTTGTTTTTCCCCTTGCGGTTAAAAAAACATGTGTGTAGACTAAAAGAAAAACATCTTGACTACTACGTTTTCAGAGACTTTAAGTCCTATCAGCAACATCTACTTTCTATCTTGACGCATCAACGCATCCAAATGTTATCTTAACACAGTTTAAGCATAAAGGATTTCCGTCTTTGTCAGTTCCTGTTTCTTGACCCACACTTAAAGCGTGATCTTTTTCAGGACTCAACAGTTTTTTTTTTAAAGCGTGATCTTTTTCAGGACTCAACCCTTTTTTTTTTTCAATAGCTAATTATTCATCATTGTGACGAGAGGCTCAAGTAGATACTGTGTGGAGAAGTAAAAGTTTTTCTGGCCTGACTGAAACAAATACAGATGAGCCGTGAGGACTGTTCCCACCAGTAACCAAGACCAGCTTTGGTCTACTGGACTCATTACTGCTGGTCACCACCGATGTCCGTGCATTACCTTCTAATAAGACCAACTAAATGGATGGGAATCTTAGTATGGAAAATCAGCCACTTCTTTGGTACAATGCACTCCAAACTCTATTAATTCTATAATGAAAACCGTTTATCATGCCCTCAGTGTGTGTGACCTCCACCTTTTGTATGGACTACTTAATATTCTACCTGTATTACATGGCTCAAAGTCTGACTCAGTACATTCTCTCTCAGCTTTGTTCTTGAGCTGTACTCACCTATATGGTTTAACCTTGAATCTCAAATACACTCAGTGGGCCATTGATGGCAGAAGTTACTTTTCATGAGACACTGATGGACAATGCTACTTTCCATACTTACTGATTGTCATGATAATAATAATAAATAATGTAATAGTTGAAAAATAGCAGAGAAAATGATGGTCCCTGGTGAAGCACATTTTGTCACTTGAAGTTTATCAATAGATGACTAAATCAATTTAAATATATCGCTATCATTGTTTACTGCAACTCATCAGTATGTACCTAGGAGTTTTGTTAAGTGGATCCAGTTGGTCTCCTGTGCTGCCCCCTGCTGCTTCTACAATAAAATCAGTGTAAGAAACGGTGAAGCTGGATCTTAATTTGATGACAGACTATCCTTAGTTACTTAGTTTAAAGAGTTAAATCTCTTTAACTCTTCAAAGCCATCAATCACTGAAAACAGTTAACTGGATATATCATCATTAGCCATGTTCTAAAATTTAGTATTGCATTTGCAGTCTGATATTTTTAGTCCTGTTATAAGGTTTGAAAAATTAAGAGATTTATCCTTTACAATATAAGGTCTTCTCTTATTGACTCACCTTCACAGTTCCCTACTGTAACCTTTTCACTGGCACATTTCAAACCAGATCAGTTGGAAATTAGAATAGATCAGTTCAATATTTCACCACTGTGTGTAGTTAAACTTATTTAAAGTCTAGCCTTAATGTAAGAGCTCACCTTGTTTTAATGGCGATCGCTAACGCTGGAGTTAAATTCATTATTAAACAATTAAAACTCTTGGCTTTACTGAAACCCGACAACTGAAATAGTGTTTTTTCTCTTCTTGGTGGTAATGACCTAAAGACAACCTTCCAAAAAATCTCTCTGTTTGTCTCCCCATGAGGTCAGACTGACAGGAAAGAGCGTAAAGAGTCAGGCCTACATGAATGATGCCACAACAACTGGCACCAACAATGGCAAGAATGTTTCTCACCAATAGCTGATGCCGCACAGGCGCTGACATCATATCACTCCCTCATCTCTCTCTTTTCTCCCCCCTCTTCTCTTTATTCCAGCCCCACCCGTTCCATTCCATTAGCAAGTCGCTCCGTGTCTCTGTGTTATTTAAAGCCAGCGATCCTCCCTCTCACCGAGCCACTGTGTTGCATCTGTCTGCCTCTTCGCTTGTGTGTCCGGGTGTGTGTGAGTGTGAGTGTGTACATGTGTATGCGCAAAGAAGGGAAGAAACCAGGCAGCCAGTGGGAGAGCTAGAGAACAGTGAGAGAGAGGGAGGGAGAGAGAGAGAGAGGGAGAGAGAGAGAAACACTGGGGGGAAAGGCAAACAGCATCAGAGCAGAAAGGCACGAGGACCGGGACTGTGAGTGAGACAGCAATGAAATTCATCCAGGCTTTTTGCTTACTGCTCCTCTGTCCAGCTCTGAGCTTCAAAACCAGGTAGGAGATGAATGAGGAGAGAGTTTTCTTCTCTTTTTCTTTGTCAATTTCACTCTTCATCCAAAAAAGGGGGCTTGGGTTCAGAGCATTCAATGGACATCCTCAGATTAGTAATCTGAAGCTCTGCTCAGTCCTGACGCCTCAATTCATCCTGGCAGCGGATGTCTGTGTCTGGAGCATGCTGCAGACTAGAAGACTTAGCTGGAGAAAGAAAATAAAATAAAGCGTATCTGTTGAACTAGACTGTTATTTTTTTTTTCTATTTTACAGCAGACTCAGACACTTGTCCTTTTGTGCTGTTTATTCTCTGGATACAAAGCATCCTGAATAGTGACTCTGCTTTTTGGGACTTTTGCTGCCTGCTGGTCACGAAGGGAGCAAGTTGAAGTCGGGGGAACTGAGAGAAAAGACAAGGCTACTTGTGTTGCAGTGTCTTGGAAAAGAGCAGGTGTGTGTGTGTGTGTGCGTGCGTGCTTGTGTGTACTAAGGATACGATAAGAAGGGATTTGAAGAAGCTCCAGCAAGACAGTTAAGAATGCAGATTGTACAGGAGAAATGACCAGAGATGGTGGAGTTTTGATGATTAGATAAATCATTAATAAAATCCTCCTCCTTCCTCTGTGCCAGTGCCTGACACCAGGGTCTTAATGAGAGCTGTGAGAGGGGATTCATGGCTTTGACTACAGTGTGTACCATGGAGATGTTTGCAGCGAGGAAGGCATCCATTATAAAAAAAAACAAAAACAAAAAACAACAACTTGGCTTTCATTTTTCCCCCTCATTTTCCCCCTAACCATGTGTTCTTATGGTTACCTTGTGAATTTAATGAATTTTGTTGCAGATAAATATGAGCACCAGTGGAACAAAGGAGCCCTTGTTTATTTTTCCTTTACCAACTAACCACATGGTTTTTGTTTTGATGAACTACAAAGCGGCCAAAGAAAATAATTATTAAACAAAAAAAGGGAAAAATTAGATAATTTCTGTGAAACTGTAGATTAGATCAGGTGTAGAATGATAAGAATAACTTTGACTGGGCAGCCAAGGCGTAATAACCATCAAATCAACTAACCAGGCACTGACACCTCCAAATTCACCTCCAAATTTCATCATTCACCATTTTGACTATTTTGAGGTTCAGTCTGTTTAAAATCTTTGGATATTTAATTAAATTATATTTTTAAGCCAAATAATTTAATTTTTTCTTTGTTTGATTATGAATCTTTTCACGTTACCTTTTTGGGGCTTTATTTTTCAGTCACTCATTGGACAGAAGTCATTAAACCGGTAATTCAGTAAATCAGTACAGATCGTTTGCTTCGTCTTCAAGGTAAACTGTCATGAAAAGTAATTACCACAGCGCACAGATATAATCAGTGTTTTATTGGACGCCTCGTTCCTAAACATCACAATAAACAATGATGATCTAAGCAGGCTGGTTTGTCGGAACCTTTAGCACTCCCAGGCAAATCTTAGCAAATTGGACCAATTGAACAATAATTAATATTTCTTATAATGAAAAAAAGTCCTGAGCAGATCTGCGGTGCTACATCTGTCTGTTTTCGCCCGCAGGAAACTCAGGCTGTATAAGCTAATCTGTTAATGATGTACTGGGAAAATTTCAGGGAGTTTCAATAATAAATGAGCTGTGATTGCCAGTTGGTGAAAACAGAGTAAAGTATTTATTTAGAACTCTTCAGCAACTTCACACAGTTTAGACAGAAACATGTGTGTTCTCTGGCTGAATGTCTAAAAGGTGCTGCCCTTTGGCCTGACTGAAGAACTTTCTAATATGCTTTTGAAAAAACAGACATTTCTGTCCTACTGTAATTAGCGCAGTGTTTTACGGTTGGGTATCACAAGGACAAGGATCTCAAGTGCCCGTCTTTTTTAATTGCAATGACCACAATTAGGGCATTTAAAGAGCAATAACAGGTTATACAATGTCCATACATTCATAATTACCCACTGGCAGTTGTGAAAAGATCACATTTAAGGTCATCAGTGGAATTGGAAACTGATTGATCCATAACAAGTGTCCACTCACATCACTAAATCACTCGTCCTTTAAAGGTTGACTGCTACTAAATGTGACGATCTGATCTCTCAATCAGATGTGTGAAATTAGTTGTGCTTTAATTGTCTGAGGTAATTAGCTGGCACATCGTCAGGCCACATTGTCTTTTGATCTGGGGCTACAGTAGAGTGGTGCTGAAACAGTACATCGCACAGAGATGCATTTATCATACAGCTCTTGGAATTGGTTTTGTGATTGCTAACGTTAGATTGTTGATAAAATCACCACCTCATTTTCAAATGAAGCATCTTTTGCAGTGTACCTGATTACAAACTCCAAATCTTTCAGAATCTTCAGCGATGCTCATCAAATCCACAAGCGCGGCCGGAGAATTATCTGCAGGTTTAGCTTTGGATCATGTCGGCCTTCCAAACCATTTTTGGCAGTAAGCCCTTCATGAGGCGATTCTTCTTTATATTTCCTTGTCTTTCTTTTTGTTTTCCTGGAGGTCAGGGAACCAAGCAGGTCTTATCATTTGTGACATGCTCATTTTTCTTGTAATAATAAAGCATTGAAGAGACTCTGAGATGAATCTGCTGCAGCAAAATGATTGCTGACTGGAGCTGTCTCGTCTGCATATTGCCCTGCCTCGCTTTGCTTGATTCACTATCATCATGCCTGTGGTGTGTGAGGGAATCTATTTCGTAGGTTAACTGCAACCCTGTGATGTGACCTGCTCGTCTTTTCTCTCCTACTGTCAGTTAATGAAGCAGGATCCAAGTTAACTGTAGAGCTTAATTGTAAATTATGAGAAATCAAAAAAAAAAAAAAAAAAAGAAAAAAGAAAAAGAGGAATACACATATGTTCTCTCTGTAATCCTGACTATGTTGATGCCAGTACCTGCTCATATGAGAGGTTGATTAAGATGGATTTGATTTTAATGAATAGAGTGGGTTACTCAGGCCACATAATGGAGGTGCAGGGCTATATGTCATTGCAAAAATCAATTGGTACTTAGGCAGGAGACAGGGCTGTATTGACACTACTCCCATGAGATATGAGTGTCCAACTCCAGGTCAGGGTTAGAGGAGATAATTTGCGTTTTTTTTTCTTCTTCTTCTTCCTTTTTTCCCCTCCTACAGATCACACGTTCTCTCCCTGTCATGACATCAAATATTCCCTTTCAGGGAATTTCATGAAAGATATCTGACACTTTTCTTTTTTTTTTAAATCCCTGATGTCCCTCACCTTTGCAGGCATTTTTTTTTTCAGATGGTGATATTTTGTGGAATCTACACAACATCAAATATTGATGAGTAGTTTAGAGTGCAGTTATAAGGACATCAAACCTCCTTGAATCGTACATATTGGTCCAGGCTTGATGCTGCATTGCTTTAGATAATATGTGCCCGTGGATAGAAATTCTGTATTATCATTTTACAAGATAATTTATAGCCATTTATTGAGATGCATCATTCCAGGCTGTAACTTAGTAATTATTATGAAAATGAAAGAATAATTATGTTATGACTTCCTAACCTCTAGCCTTTGCTGATTTTTTAATTGTCGGATCTTGTGCATAGAGCAGGTGTAGAACTGGAAGCAGTCAAACAAAATGTTAGGTTGGAATTTAAGGATCAGATCAATAATGTAGCCTTGCTAAATAGAAAAATTCTCATTGATTGAGATGGTTTTCATTAAAACAGTGTCTGATTATATTTTTTTCTGAGAAGATACTGAACCTCCTGCATCGATCGATCCATCACCCACGTCATCTCTGCTCAATCTGTCACATGTCTGCTGAGCTGTAAACATTCCACAGATCATCATTTACATCAATCGATACATTCTTACCACTAACAATAAATTAATTCAACATGGTTACAGCACAGAGGAAAACCTATTGCAGGAAATCTCGCTTACATCCTTCTAATCTGTACGTTTTAGTCCCTCCAAATAAAATGGACACATTGATGAAACCTGCAGGGTTGACAAATGATGTCTGACAAATTGAAAAGAAATCATAATTAACCGGAGGTCAAGTGTGCAGCAGTTGCGGATTTAAACCATACTGTACAAGATGTTAACATCAATCTATAAACTGATGGATAGCAAGTGGCTAACAGTGATAATGACTTTATGCAAACAATCCACCTCCTGATCGTTAGGCCTTTCTGAAGGAGAAATACAAGACAGACCAATAAATCTTTTAATATGTATAAAGTACTAGGACTGCCCATATTACCTCACGGGTCTTTCTATTTATTATTAAAATTGCTATTAAATAAGAATTACACCATTATCTTAATATAGTGGTGCTTTATTTGAAGTAAGGGAAATAGTAAAAGCAATACATATTTGATATTATCCTTTTAAAATAATAACAGTAATCTGCCCAGTAAAGGTTAAGCAATCCAAGTGGTGGGCCTTGAATTATGGGTAAGTGGTTAATTATGATTGCATATGGTCTGTAATGTTAATACGTAGGTGTAATCCCTGTCGTGTTGAGAACAATATATGTATGAGTATGTTTTGGAGGTGAGGGGAGAAAAAAAAAAGCAAGACACCCACACAGATGTTTTTGCTACAAAATGGCTTCTACAGCTGACGGTTACAGATAGGTTTCAGGAGAAGGGTTTGAATCCTTACAGTGGGAGAAAATTATATTCCTGCAGCCCTGTAATGTGCTCGGCACAAATGAGACTGTGCATGATAATTGAAATTCAAAGGACATGGTGTAATGGTCAAACCATGGCAACCACATTGGCTACATGACAGTAATGAAGTGGGCTTCAATAAACAAAACCTTAGGTTGGTTCTATAAATGAGAAAGTAATTAAAAACTACAATCAGTGCAGGGCCAAGAGTAGTACGCAGTTTTTGTATTCAAGGCCACATTTCAGGTACTACTTCAGGTGCTTTTGCTCTGATCGCTCCTCTAAGACATTTAAAAAGCCACCAGTTTATGTGATGTTGCAATCT